TCCCGCGGGGGGGCGGCTCCGTGCTGGGCGGGCAGAGGATCATCTCGCCGGCCTGCCGGGTCCCGCGCCCCGCCGCGCCGCGCCGCCTGGGACCGGGAGCCGCTACCGGACTCCGAGCCGCGGCCAACCGGACAGCCCGAGCCGAGCCGAGCGGAGCAGAGCCGCGGGGGGGCGTGTCTGCCGGCCGGCGCCCTCCAAATACGGCAAAGGGGGCGCGGACGACCGGGAGCGGGGAGCCAATCGAGATCCGCGGGGCGGGGCCTGGCCAGCTTGCGGCAGGCGGCTTGCAGACCACGTGGGCCGAGTGGAAAGTTACCTGCCCGTCAAGTGGGGACCACGCCCATTTCTAGGGAAAGGGGGCGTGGCCAGGAGGCCGGCGTGGCGTCCCTTGACAGCTCTTAAGAGAGCCGCGTCCCGCTTCGGGGCATCGGCGGCCCGGGCACCGCCGGCCCTTTGCCTCCGGGACCGGTGAAACGTGCGCGAGCACCTTGCCAAGAGAGGTCCGGCAGGGGTGGGGAACGCGTGTGCTCCAGTTGCGGCTGGACTGCAGTTCCCATGATCCCACTGAACGGGCTGTGCGGGCTAGGGGTGATGGGAGCTGCGAGCCCGCAATGTCTGGATGCAACACCCGTGCACGAGAGGGAGCGTGGCTCGTTAAACACCGCACGGTCTTGCAAGATTTTATTTGGGCTCCGTGGGGCATCCGGAGACCGCCTGCGCCATGGGTGGAAAAACGTACTTAATAACGATCCATCCTGGTTTTCCTTTTATGCAATTCGCATGCCCGTTTGTGGTTGCTGCATGTGTTGCGGTCATACTGTTCCATGCTTCACCTCTAAGGAACCAAGATGCTTGGGCTCACCTGAGGAATGTCATGAAATTACTGCAAATGGAGTTCCTGCCCACTAATCCGGGATCTTTTCTTTTTTTAACTGCAGAGGTCACTGTTTTTTAATTGTGAGGTAAATTCGACAATGAAACTATGTCAGAGTTCTGTCTGTCTGGTCCTGGTTTTATGGCGTGTGGGAGTACGGAACCCTGCTAGGCTGTCAGCATCTGCCAGCAACGCGGCTCCTTCTGCATCACTTGAAGCAGCTGCTTCCAGAAGGTCAAAGAGCAGCTGCACTTCCATCGTCTTGCTTGCCTCTGCCGTACCTGGGAGGACACGCAGCGTCCCTGAAAGTCGCCCTGACGCACGGACGGTCCTGCCCCCTTGTAGCAGGGCTTTCCAGGGTGGGCATTCCCGGGGCAGGATAAATCAGCATCTCCCTGCGGCCCCCAGAGGCCTGGCGATTCATCCATCCCTGCCCTGGCGTGCCATGTGGCAGGGCTGTGGGCTTTCAGCTGCTGGGCAATACCTGTGGGTCCCTGAAGGCTTGCCAAGGAGGCCGGGCACCAGCCTGCTCCACAGGCTCTCGGCCAGGCAGGGAGGCAGCGTGAAACAGCACAGCCCCAGCAACAGCCCGGCTGTGCAACCGGCTGTGCTGTTCTCTGGGAGCCTCTTTTCTCTTTGCCTGTTCTGGCAAATCCACTTTCTGCTGCAGCTCCTCTTCAGAGCCAATCAGAAGGTAGCCTGATGACATCACCTTAAAACCATAGCAGGGCTCCATCCCTGAATGCAAAACGGGCTCCATAGACAATGCAGCTGCTCTGAAGGACAGCTCCCCTTCCCCGGACAGAACGGCTCCCTGCGGCCTGCCTCCGAGGGGAGGGAAGAGAGGCGAGGCGTGAGGCTCCTGGGCCAACGGTGTCTTTATTCGGACCCGGGCTCGGCAGGTGGGGTAGGCAACGGCAGCCAGGCATTTGGGTGGCCAGGAGGGCCCTGGAGGAGAAAGCGGCTCCCCGGGGCACCAGCTCCAGCGCTCAGCGATGCTTGTCCTTCCTGCTTGCCTCCAGCCTAGCCTTGGCAGTCGCGGTTGTCTTCCGAGGCAAGCCCTCCTCATCTAGGCCACCAGAGGTGTTTGGTCCCGCCTTCCCCGTGCCTTTTCCCTGAACGGGCGAGACAACATACACCAACAGGGTCACGGCTACACCGGCAGCGATACGAGAGGACAAGGCAAGGAGGATGTTTGCGGCAGCCCAGGTCTCAACTCGGCAACACTTTGCGAGCTGCACCACCTCACCGCCCTCCCTCCGGTGCTTCGAACAACAACTCCCAGAATTCCTGACTGCTGGCCATGCTGACTGAGGATAAATGGAGAGCGCCAGCTTAGGAAGATCACCCTTTGCGTCCCCACACGGTTCGTTGGTTCTGCGACAGCCCTGTCCTCCTCTCACTTAGAAGCCCAGTGTGTGCGACTGCTCTCGGCTGAGGGGACACAGGGCTTCTGCTTCCGATCCACAATTCAAAATGCACCGAGCAGCAGTGCCTGAAACGGCTGGTTGTGCACCATGTCCACGCACATGAATCCAGTTGCTTGTGCGCTAGCAGAGCCAGTTGCGTGCATCCCCCATTGCAGAAACTTACTTTCCGGGGTCCCTGGAGAGAGGGAGGTGAACCCTAGAGATCATGCAGGTGATTTCTTAAATGAGTATCGCCAACAGGCAAAAATGGTCAGAGAACATGGACTATCCCGTGTGAGAACGGGCCACAGAACGGAGGCGTGCGGGTCAGCATGCAATGGGAGCTGCCTGGGGCAGGGGTCACGTTCTCAGCTGAGAAAAGGGAGACGCTCTTCCCCACGGCGCTCAAGAGGTCCCCACAACCTCTAAAGACGGGCTGGCACACCGAGCGGTGGCATCCAAGTCCCCCAGGTGCTTTCTGGGGAGGAAGAGGAGGGGAGGGCTTCCTCCTTCCGCGGGACGACTCCTTGGGTTGGTCCAGTTTCCTTGCTGGTACAGCTCTCAGGTGGGAGAGCCACCGCCGTGGAGGCCGGATTTGCTCCCCTGGGCCAACGGGAGGGGCTTACCACCACCTGGTTGGCCATGCAAGACAGGAGCGACTCCATGGTCGGCGGCTTCTTGCCATCTTGGCTCTTTAGTGCCTTGAGGCGGCTCTTCTCGAGGAAGTCGCACTGGTTGCGCAAGGAGTCTGCAAGGCAAGCAGGGCGCTCCAGGCAGAGCAGGGGGCCCGGCTCCATTTCGGGGAGGGCGGCTGGCTCCCCCAGGCGCGGTGCCTGCCCCTCCCCCAGCCGCGTGGCCTGCTGCCGGCCGGCACGGCTCTGCCTGCCCCGAGCATCTCCTGCTGGCTTGCATGTGTTGCCCCCCACCAGCCCCGGGGGGCAACTCTCTGCACAAGACGAGGCAGCAGCAATCTGCTCAGCCAGGAAGCTGCATCCTTGGGTGTCCCTACCCAACAATTCTGGTGAAGGGTACTTGAATAGTGGGATGAAGGCCCGGTAGCCATTTTCGTGCTTGGTCCCTGCACCACGAGAGAGAGAGAGAGAGAGAGAGAGAGAGAGAGAGAGAGAGAGAGAGAGAGAGGTTTGTCATGGTGTCTGTGATCCTTCACAAGCGTGACCATGATCCTCTCATCACATGGGACCCCTGGCTGCCTCCCTGCTGGTAAGCCGCGGAGATGCCAGGTCCTTCTGGCCTGCTGCTGGTGGCGCCTCTCGAAGGCCGCGGTGGAGGGGCTGCCTAGTGTGCGAGATGTGTGTGCACGGTCCACTCGGTGCCGTCTGCAAGTAAATTGCCCGGTCCCAGGCGGCAGAAGCGGTCTCTGCTCTGGACACTCTGGAATGTGGCTGCCATTCAGGGCATGCCAGATTCCCTAGCCTTGTACCTTCTGGATGTTTTGGACTGCAACTGTCTGCCCGCCCCAGAAAGTATGGCTGGCGGTCTCGGCGGAGATGCAGTTGACGACGGTGGCAGCATAAAGGAGCTCGAGATGGCATTGTAGGGCAGGAACCTGTTGCTCGGGGTGGGGAGGGGAACTCTAGAAGGCAGGACTAGTGCTCATCTGCATGTGCCAACTAAGGCAGGCACCCCGGGACATTCTCTTCTGTTCACTGCGCAGTAGAGACCAAAGAACACAACTTTAAAATATCCAGGGCGCAACAACCGTGCCCAGCTTGAGAGCAGCCTGTGAAGGGCCATCTTTTGAGGAGGCTTTGCTTCTTAAAAGATTTCTATCCCACCTTTCCTCCAAACAAACCTCAAGGCCACTAAAAACAGCATTTTAAAACATTCGGTAAGAGCCCTCGAAATAATAACAAACACAGCCAGAAACAGAACCAGGATGCCGACCCGACGGCCCACCCAGGGAATCAGCTCAGCCCTCCCCAACCGGGTGCCCTCCAGACGCGCTGGTCCGTAATGCAAGGACAAAAGGAGCGGCATCCTCTTTGGATGCCGCCTTTTTGCAGCTTGCGGTCTCACAAATAGCAGGGCATGTGGAGAGGGAGCCCAAAACCCCAAGTGGCGCAGCCCGGAGATCCCCGCTGTGCCTTCCCGTGGTGTCACGCAGGACGGCCGAGTCAGCTGAGCTTCGGTGTCTGTCCAAGCACCACGCTCTCCCGCCCAACCTTTCCAAAAGCCAGAGGAGATGCTCTCCAGCCTGAGGGTCAGTTGCCAGCCTGGAAAAGGCTGGGGCGGCTGTGGGACCCTCCGCATGAGCAGGCGCCCCCAGCTAGCCCCATACCCTCCATGGGGCTGGGCCTCTCGCTTGCCTCTTGCTCCAGCCCTCCTCATCCCTCCGCAAAGCAACCTGCCTAAGAAGTCTTAGGCAAGCCGGAGACCTGAGGAACCCGCCGGGCTGAGCCAGGCCCCCCTCCCCCCTCCAGCCCCCCCCCCCAGCCTTCTCGGATCAGAGCTTTCCCCTGCTGGAGCATGGAAAAGATCGGGGGGGGGACACTGAATTTTTAACATGCAGGCCTTACTGCCAGGTGGTGGGCATTCCGGTTCCCCTCTGTGCTTGTACATGCGCCTTTGCAGGAAGGGAGTTTGTGGCCGGGCAAGGCTGGGTAAGGACGACCTCTGTGCAGCTGTGGCTGCCCGCTGCATGGCTGGGGGGGAGCCTTGCTCTTGCACTCACCTGGGGCACCACGCTCTACTTTGCACATGTAATAGGTTCCCCGCGGGGTGAGGAACTTGCTGGCACTGTCTTCCGGAAACCTGACCAGGAACAGCAGCTTTAGGGTCCCGTTCTCCTCACACAAGTCAACGGGGTCTGAAAGGGAGCAACCGCAGGGGCCAGGTGGGCTTTCCTCCCAGCGAGCCACTCCACTGCACTGTGGCCCATCAGCCACACGAGGGAGGCGTCTGGGGCAGGGCTGGCGGACTCGGCTCCGTCCTCCCCGTGCTGCCTTTTGAAGAATTAACTGCTGTTCCCGTCCTGCGGGCTCAAGGGTTCCTCGAGCCGCTCTAAACACGCGGGCGCCAATCTCCCGGCCTTGTCGGCATTTGCAGAGTTTCGGCCGGCTGCTGTTTCGAGCTGCCGATGGACTTGGAGCCCCTGGCCTCGTAAGCACCCCTCTCAGTCACGGGTGTCCCTGCCCATGTCCCACTGCCCCTGCGCTCGCCACTCTGCCAGCACTGAATGCAAGACTTGCTCGGCCCACAGCGACTCCAACCTGGTTTCTGCCATTTTCAGCTGCAGGTGAGAGTTTCCCCCGTTTTCTGGCTCTGAAGTTCCACCTGGGCTCCCGATGGGCCAGGTTTGGCCCAAGATACTTTGCTGCCCGGGGTGGAAGCGATGGTGCCGAGGCTGCCCACCCAAGTCGAGGAAGGCTTGCCAGGCTATTTTAGCACAGGAGGCAGAAATCCCTCCACTCACAAGCCCCTCTCTTCATTCCCAGCCATAAAACCCCCCAACGACAAAACCTGCAATCATGTGTCTTCCCCCATCTGGCTGCTGGTTGGGCTGGCCCGATACACCCCACCATAAGGGCCTGTGTGCTTAGCCGTTTTTAGCAGGAGGGTGTCTCTGGGAGCCAAGGCACCCGCGACACCCCAGCACCACCTGGCTTCCCTGCTAATCATCTAATTCCCGATATGCGGATGACTGAGAGGCTGATATGCTTCAAAACAAAGTGTAGCCCCTCCACGGCCTTCCATATCTGGGCTCAACAGGGTGGTTTGCAGTTTGGAGCTCAGACCCCTTTTCTTAGGTTTCTGGGCAAGTCAGCTTTCTTTTGGCCTCACCAGTTGAACTTCGAGAAAGCACGTCTTTTCTGGGTGGCCATGCCCCCGTGGCAGTCATGCTGTGCATGGAGGAGCCCCACCCTGAGCAGCCTTTTTGGGAAGGCAGCCCCAGCTGGCCACTCATTCCAGCTATGTCCACTGACTTATTTCCAGTGACCTGCAGCATTTGGGGACTTACGGTTTATTGCAATAGGAGCACAGTGCTTACACATTTGTCGTGTACAACCCACACAGCTTCTTGTAAGGCTGCACGTGCAGTGTGTTGATATCACGAGCTCTGTTTTGCATGCTATTTTGTGTGCTGCATTTTGCCCGTACCCACAAAATACTCACCTGCGGCCCCGCGATGTGGCTGCTGCAGCGGAGGGTTCAGCCGCCAAACAGACCGAGCCTCTGCCGCCCGCCCCTCCGCTCACTCCTTGGCAAAAGCCCCGGCAGTGCTGGCCACGTGCTGCACCGAACGCAGTGGGAGCCCCGGCCCACTTACCTGTCTGCTGCAGCCCCACCTTGTCCCGCAGGTAGTGCATGAGAAGCAAAACCGAGCAGTTGATGTTGGCCAGGAGCTGTCGGTTGTCTGCAAAAGGCAGAGTCGGGGGGGGTGCTGAGCAGCCTGGAGTCCCACTCGGACCCCCCACGTGGCCCGGCTCTGGAGCCTCCCCCTGCTGTCAGGCTTCCGTCGCCTGAGCGCAGCACCCGCGCCCGGCCCTTCCTCCCAGGGCCAGGCAAGCCGTCTGCCCCACCCAGCAGCCCAGAAGCGCCCCAGAGCGGATCCTGTATGAAAGGATGGTGGGAAAAGGATGACAGAGACGGCTGGGTGGGTAAGGCAGGAAGGGGCTGGGTGCTGGTGCCGGGAGCAGATCCTCACACGTACCGTCTTCCCACAGTGAATCATCCAGTCCACTTTAGCTGCCCACCCGAGGGGGGGCAGGAAAGATCCACACAGCTAGGTTTTTATTTGCCCGATACTTTAAGCTTTGACTTTGTATTAAAGCTGAGTTTTATTCGTTGTCAAGTGAAGGGCGATGCTGTGCTTTTATTTTATTACATTACCGTCCTGGGACTCGGTGAAGGACGGCATAGAAAAGCTTTTAATTAATTACTTAATTAATTAATACATGGTCTAGGTCAGCATTCCCCTGAAGAAGGGGCTGCTGAACCCTGGCTGGGCTCAAGTGCGGGTGGAACCAGCCGCTGGCCTTGCGTTTCCCGTTGCCTCTGGAGTCTTGGGGATCCAAAGCTGAATCTGGGCGCTGCAAGGGAGCCACAAGGCCACCGAGTTTTGACTAGTGAGCCGGATGCCAAGGACGTTGCAGAGACAACCCGTCCCTTGAAGCAGCCACCACCTTGGGGAAGGACATCCCCTGTGCTCTGAGCAGGGGGGACAACTGTGGATGCCAAGCTGCTAATCCTCAAAAGCCCCCCCCGCCCAGCTTTCTGCAGTGCTCACCGCTGCCTGCCCACGCTCCCATCCTGTTGTGCTTGGGGGCCAAATGGGCAGGGGCTTGAGGGTGAGTGTGCCTTCTGTCCGTCCCGTCCATTCCAGGCAAGGCAATCCCTAGTGCTTCTTGCTAGATTCTCACCTCACCTCCGTACTTGATGCAGATAAACATGCCGGAGGACCGTGGGCGCGGCTGGCTGGCTCTGCACTGGTGAGCGACCCGGTGTCATCGTGACACTCCGCAACCTCACAATGGAAGACTCTGCGAGGCCTTGGCAGCCCTGGTCGCGGGCCACGGGTCACACCCCGCAGGGCGGCCGGAGGGCGAACTGCGTCTTCCCGGGCTTTGAGGTGAGAGGGGTGTGTGGGGGGCGAGCCTGGGGGAGCTGCCAGGGAGGGAGCCGTCCTGCACGCAGCAAGACGGGGCTCGGGGGGGGGGGCGGGCAACCCACTGGAGCAGGAGAAGCCAAGAGACTGGAAAGTGCAAGGCCAGATGCCAAGGCTGGTGAAGAAGGCGAAAGGCCGTGGGAGGTCCTTCCGCATGGCACTGTGGTTCCGTGGCCAAGGAGCAGGCAAGTGCGGGAGCTGAAAAGGATGCCAGGGCACAGGCTGGCCCGGCAGCATGCGGAGGATGGGAGTGGGGGTTTGCGCGCTCATGGTCCGGGCTGGCCTTCGGGGCGGTCGACTGGATGCCCCCCTGGGATGCAGCAGGAGGGGTGCTGAGCTGAGCTGAGCTGAGCGCCTTTGCCCTGCAGCGACTGAGGGCAAAGGAAAGCGAGTGACGGCCCCCATGCAGATGCCCAGATGGAGCAGGGGAAAGTCCAGCGTCCCCGGCAAGCCCAGCTTGCTTCAACATCCACCAAAATGCGCGGGACACAAGTTGCTCGTGATTGCTTGGGTTCCATTTATTCCAGTGGGTCTGCTCGAGCAGGTGTCACGTTGGCGGTAACCTGAGGCATGTTCCAGTGCCTGTCCGACAGAGAAAGCCCTCTGTGCACCCCGGGAGCCCCGGGACTGCCTTCTGCCTGGACCACACACGCGCCACAGACGCTCTCCCTCACGCTCAGCAGTCCTGCGGTTGCTTCGGAAGTTCTGCCCTCGCCTTGTGGTGTGTCCTTTTTCTCAGTTTCCAGTCTGAAGTCAAGAACCAGGCCATTCACAGACCTCCAGACATTCTGGCCTGCAACTGACATCACCCCTAGGCAGACTAGGTCAGTGATCAGGGATGCTGGACATGGCAGTTCGGACATCTGGGGAAAGCTCCAGGCTGGGGGCAGCTGTTAAAAGGGATGCTCTGGCCTGTAAGATCTGTGGGCCCACAAGTATGAACATGTTGTGAGAAAACCACACACGCCTCGCGGTGCTGAAGCTCTTTTGCATGAGCCCACAGCCCTTTGGGTGGGACTGGGGGCAGCGGCAGCGCCTCGGCGGTCGAGGGCTCCCGCACGCAAGTAAAGCAAGCAAGGGCGGCCACGCGACCAGCTCGGCGGAGTGAGGACTGGAGAAAAGCTGGTACTGGAGGCAGCAGGGCCTTTGACTGCAGGCTCCGGGGAAGATCGGGGAGGCCCAAAGAGGCCCGAGGACACTGCTCCGCTGCCAGGGAAGAAAGCTCAATAGAGGTTGGCAGGGGACGTCAGGAAATATTCCGTCGGCACAGATCGCTGCTGCACAGGCCCTACTCGGTGCTGGCCTTGGGCAGGGCTTCCACAGAGGTCCCTCCAAATTTGCCCAGAGCATCATTGCCACCCGGGACCAGTTCATTGACATGGCAAATGCTTTCGCAGTAGATGGGCTTGAAACTTTCCATGGTGTCCTTGGAAAATCCGGCCCACTCCTGCCAAAAAAAAAAGTTGGGAAGAGAAAGGCACCTTCTTCTATCCCATAGACTGCTCCTGTGTCCTCCCGGTCACCCTGACTGGCTTTTCCTCGGTACAAAGGCAGCGTGCAAATTGAGCAATGAACCAGTGTGTGCCTCCTTCTGCGCTGAGCCCAAACCATCCGGCTCGGCCAAGAGGCGGCCCAGAAGCCAGAGAACGCCTCTCCTTCTCCGAACTGCTTTTGCTCTCTGCCCATCCTGGTGTCACGATAACAACCCTCTTCGCTTTTTTAAAGGGAAAACGTGAACTCTGTTTGTGGCCGGGCTGAAGAGTTCCCAGTGCCCCATTTCAATGGCAGTTCATAGCAGAGCTCATTCGGTGAGTACCACAAAGAGCAAAGGTTTGAATGCTCCCGTTCCCCAAAGATTGGAGAGAATTGTGGAGGCTGGTGATGTGACTTCTTCCTGCCCCCGCCCCCCCAGCAGTTTGGACTACGACTCCCAGGATTCCTGACCCACGCTCACTGCAATGATGGGGGCTGAAACCCAAAGGCCTGCAATATGAGATAAGCCCAAGTTTATTTTGGGAATGAGTTTGGGACAAGGAATTGTAAACCGGCACCGGGTTCAGTCTCCCTCATTTGCACAGGTGCCTTCTGAGTGGCACTTTTTCTGTACTGCAAACGGCGAGCGGCAGTGTGTGTCCACGCAGAGTGACGGGAGCAGCGTGCCTCCTGCGTTGCTCTCCACGGAAGCACCACTGGTTTTCTCAGCAGCTCGTTTGTGCCTTCGCTGGCTCGGTATCCAGCACTCCCGCTTGCAGCAAGCAGGTTTCCAGCCAGCGCCCACATGGCTGGGGGCAGGGCAGGGGCCAGGGAAGGCGCGCAGGCGCCAATCCGAGGCCAAGTGCGGGACCTTCCGTCCCCCTGAGCCGCTGGGGAGCCCCAAAGAGCATCCTGCTCTGGCCCGGAACCTTCCATCCTACGAGTCTGGCAAGGCTCCCAGGAGAGAAACCCGCAGGCCGGCACACTTACGGAGAAATTGCCCTGGTATGCCGTGAAGAGCTCTTCGAATTTCTTGCTGGGGTTGGGGATCTTGGGCATCAGCACCAGCCGCACCCTGCAGGAGAGACAGAGTGGTCAGAGGCGGGCCGGACGGGGCACCCAGGCACGTGGCAGCCCTGGCCCGCCCCTCCTGCGCTCCGCTGCGAGCGATGCGGCCGTGAGAAGCAGGAAGGGGAGCGGGAGCAGGCGGGGCAACTCTGCCCCAAGGGCCTCCGGGCCAGGCGCTGGCACAGGCAGGAGGGGCACCGGGGCCTCTCTGGCACTGCGGGAGACCCCCGGCCGGGCGCCCAGGCACCACCTGCACGAGCGAGGGGAGCGCCTCAGCCGGGGATCCACCCGGCTGCCCCGTGGCGGGAGGGAGGCCCGCGCTCCACCCCTCGGCCGTGGCCGGCGGTGCCCTGCCAAGGGCCGTGCGGGAGATGCCCTTCCGTCACGCTGGCCGTCATTCCGGGTGAGCGAGGGAGGGCATGGGGCCTGCCACCCTTCCGGGGCTGCGGAGGGGCCCCGGCCACAGGCCCCCCTCTGCAGCCAGCCCCGCCGGCTGGCACGCTTTCGCAGGCTTCAGCGCAGTCCTCGTGCTAGGAGGAGGGGGTGGCCTGTCCCCAGTGGGGCCGGAGACCCCAAAGGACACAGTTGCCCCCTTGTGTATTGCTCGTGTTGGTTCCGGGACGAGGATCTGCAGCCCTCCATTGCAACCCCCCCCCCCCCCCTCCTCCCCCCCCCCCCCCCCCCCCCCCCCCCC